AAATGTTTCAATTATATGAATATCCATAATTGGAGGTTTAAAAAGACAGACTGGCTGGGCTTGGTGGCAGACAACTGTAATCCTAGCACTTGGGAGGCTGGGATGGAATTAGGCTTAACTGGGATATATAGTAAGTTCTAGGCCAGTATGGTCTAAACAAAGAAACCTAGTCTCAAAACAAACCAAACAAAACCGAAAAAAATCAGACTAGAAACTGGAAGGAAGATCATCCATAATACTGTGAAAACTGTATTTTAATTTTTGTACATCAATTTAAATTTTATTTAGTTTTTGTTTTGAGATAGGGTCTAACAATGTAGACCATGTTGGCTTGGAACTTAAAATCCTTCTGCCTCTGCCTCCCAAGAGTTAAATTTTATTCTTATTTATTTATTTACTTATTTAATTTTCATGTCAGATGGGTAATGTGCTGATGCATAACAAGATTTGAGGGTGGCACATGTCCTCCTAGTCTCCTATCTATCTAGCAGCCAGGAAAATGAATAGCTTTTGGAAATCCTTATATATTGTGTACACACACACACACACACACAAATGCCTGTTTTTTACATTTTTCTGCTTGTTTGTTGGTTTGATTTTGAAATATGGTCTCACTATGTAGATCAGACTGTCCTTGAACACATCCTCTTTCCTCAGCTTCGTATGTGCTGGGATTACAGGTGTTAGCCATCATGCCTAATGCGTCAATGTTTTAAAAAACAGAAAAAGTGTTAAGTGGTATATGTGCTGTCTTTTATGAGCCAAATACTCACATCTGGGAGGTTCTTTTGCAATGCTATTGAATACATCTGATCTTTTCTACTCAAAGATTCAAAAGTCATGGGCAATAATAAACATGAGTGCTTCTAGTCTGGTCTCCAGAAGCTTCATGGTTAAGTTTACATCAATGAAAAGCATTTCCGGGGCTATTTTGTCATGAACAAGAACTCCTTTTATTATCTGTACCTTTCAGCTGAAGTAGACATGCTGCAGGAAGCAGTTCTTGTACATTCTCTACTGTCACATGTACGGTTTCTGTGTATACAAAGTCCAACAGGATTTCCATGGTAGAAGCAGTCAAACCTTGGATATCAACATAAGGTTTCCCTTTCTCTGAAAGCTGAAAATTCATAAGGTATAAAATAATGGTACTTATTCTATAAGACAAAGACAGAATCTCAAATCAAAGAGCTTAAAGGAATTTTAATAATATCCATCTTTAAAAAAACTATAATTTAATGGGACATGGTGGTGCATGTCTTTAATCCCAGCACTTGGGAGGCAAATGCAAGTGGATCTCTATGAAATCGAGGCCAGACTTGTCTCACATAGCGAGTTCTAGGCCAGTTGGGGCTACAGGGAGACCCTGTCTCAAAAACACCTAATTTCCTTGAGTAGTCACCTTATTCTCATTATACTCTATTATTAAAATTTTCTTAGCTGGGCATGGTGGCTTATACCTGTTCTTAGAATTTGGGAAGTTGAGGTGGGAGGATCTGGAGTTCAAGGTCATACTTGGTATATAGTAAGTATCAAAGTACCAGGCCAGCCTGGTTACAGGAAACCTTACCTAAAAGGAGGGTAGGGGCAGACAATGATGGTACATGCCTTTAATCCTAGCACTCAAGAGGCAGTGGCAGGTAGATCTCTGTGAGTTTGAGGCCAGCCTGGTCTACATCACAAGTTCCAGGCCACCCAGTGCTTACATGGTGTAACTCTGTCTCAAAGGAACAAAATATATTTTTTATTTCTATCTATATATCTTTCTTACTATACTGTGGACTCTCTGAAAGAACTGTATCTAACTCAGTTTTGGATTCATAATACCAGGCACAGTGATTGCTGCATGGTATATATTCTAAATACATGATTTTAAAATGAGTGAATGGACAATAGTATTCATTAGACATTTACCTTATTTCCAATTTCTGCTTATTATGCATTCTGTTTAATAGTGATTGTTACCCATTGCTATGTATGTACCTGATAAAAGGGCAAATTCCTTCTCCATAAATATGCAAATAAAACCTCTGGGGCCAATAGGGCATTTAATCATGAAGCCATAAGACATAAACCCAGTAACTGCATCCTGCTTTGTAATTTTTGAATTTTTGTTTTTTGATCTTTTTTTTGAGATAGGATCTCCATGTAGCCCCAGCTGGCCGGGAACTCACTGTATAGACCAGGCTGGCCTTGAACTCACAGACATCCGCTTGCCTGCCTCCTGAGTGCTGGGACTAAAGGTGTGTGCCACCATGCCCAGCTACGCTTTGTAATTTTTGTAATGGCCAGGTTTTTGTTTGTTTTTTAAGATTTATTTATTGTTATTTAAGTGTGTGTGTGTGTGTCTTGTGTATATTTGTGCATCTGCAAGTGAGTGTCCAGAGAAGCCAGAAGATAGCAGGTTCCCTAGAGCAAGTTACAGTTGGTTATAAGTATTTGACATGTATGCTGGGAACTGAACTCAGGTCCTCTGCATGAGCATGGTACAAGGTCTGAAAGGCTGAGCCATCTCTCCAACCCCGTCATGGCCCAGTTTTAAAGAAATTGTAACACCAAGTCAAATCTGTACCTGAATTTCATCACACTTGATTAGCTTTTCCACCTCTCCTTGACTTAGAAGAATGAACTCTTCATGCTGTACCACTTCAGGAAAATGCTTCTGGCTAAAAACCTCAGCTGCTCGCATCAGGTCAACACAATTGTGAGTTTCAGCAAAATCCCTGATACC